CACTTTCTTTTTTCTATTCTTTATTGAAAAAATGGAAGATAATTTTCTTCAATCATTCTCTGATTTGCCAACATTTTTATGAAGAAGATTTACAAAAACTGGCTTTTCAAGAAAATGTATATAATATTAGCAAGTTTATATTATAAACAATATATTAACTAACTAATTCATAACAAATTAACTGTATTTTTAAGGAGGAAGATATCAAAGCAATTAATTTTGATCACAGTGATATTGAAACAATTATTTCTGATTATAATAATACTGAAGATAATGAAATTGTTTATTTTACAAAGAACTTGGTAATTGATATAATTTATCATATGCTTACTCTTATGAAATATCTGCCAACTAGTCATAAAGGTGTAACAATAGTTTTTAATACTCAAGATTGGAAAAAAACTGAATCAGCATTTAATGATGTAAGTATCATTAAAATATTTTAATTTAGAATAAAAATTATTTGTTAATTTTTATTATTTATTAGATTCAATATGCAATGGGAAAACCTGGTGGTGAAACTGAAGTTTTTTGTTCTGTCTTAATATCAAAGTCAAAAAGAAACTTGAATTTGTTTTAAAGTTAAAACATGTGAATTTACAATATCAGAACTTCATAATACAATACATAAATTAGTAGATTTTAATTCAGATCTTGCATATAAAATTAATACTAAACTTGTATATAATAATATTGATAATAATACTTTTGCATAATTATTTATTAATTTATTATAATATTAATAATTAATTAAGAATTGATTAAGAATTAATTAATATATATTACTTTTTTATTTTAGTTTATTTTTAATAGCTTATAAAATATCTTATCAAATTAAAAGAAAAATATATTTAATAATGAAACTTCTATTATATGAAAATTATATCAAAAAATGATTTATCTATAACTTTTTTTATTGCTTAGCTAATAAAAAATCTCATTAATTTATTAAAATAAATAATAATATCAATATTGATCTTTTGTAAGATTTATTTAATAATATATATTAGATAAGATTTTTATATAATAATATTTATAATAATAATAATAATAATAATAATAATAATAAATTTATAGAAAAATAATAATAACAATTAAGTTTAATTATTAATTAATAAATATTATATAGTATTATCTTATTTTTCTCAAAAAAATATTGTGATATTTATATTTATTATATTTATTAAATTATTATAATTATTTATTTTTTATAGAAAAATAATAATAATAATTAAAATCAATTATTAATTAATAAATACTATATAATTTTATTTTATTTTTCTCAAAAAAAATATTATAGTATTTATATTTATTATATTTATTAAATTATTATAATTATTTATTTTATATATTTAATATTAAAGCACATCCTTATCAAATTAAACAAATAATTAAATATAATACTATTTATAAATAATTTTGTTATATTCAATTTTAAAACTTATATTATTAGATATTGAATAATATTCTTTTAGAATTTTAATTTCTAAAAAAATTTATATATATTTATTATTATTATCAATATAAATATATATTTATTTTAAAGATTATAATCTTTAATCTAACAAGCAAATATTAATTTTCTTGATGTAATTTTTATAAGTATTATTATAAATAAATAACTTAATTTATATTAGTTTAATATATAAATTAATTATTAATTATATTAAAATTATAAAAAATCTTATAAAAAATTATTTTGCTGTTGAATATTTATCCAAAATATATTTTTATTTTATAGAAGAATTCATGAAAAATGATTTTCTAATATTGTTAATAATATTATATTAAGTTTACCTAATGTCAAAAGTTCTAAAGCTATTCAAACTTTGTTTAAAGAAATATTATCAAATAAATCTGTAAAAGGTAATTATTTAATTAATATTTATATATATAATAAAATAATTATAACTATATTCAATAATTTTATATTATTATTAGATTGAATTAATTTTTATTAACAAGCTTATATAATTGCTTTTCTTAATCAATTGATGTTCAAGATTTTAAATAATATATGACAAGTTGTATCAAATAACACAAATGCTGCAAAAGCTGCTCATGCCATGAGCAATCATAAAGAAAAACATTGAAATTATTAACTGTTATTATATGGTAAATTTTTTACTTAATATTTAAAACTACTAAATTGTTAATATATTAAATTAATTATTTTTTTAGAGGAAAGAAATTAGATATGAGATGATTTAATTCAATTCAAGTTGAAGATTAATTCAACACTGCAAATAGTGATAATGATCATGGTTTAATTGCACATTATAAAATTGGCAATTAAAAGAAATGATAAATTATTACTTTGATTTTAAATATTTTTAATTTAAAACTAATATTTTAATTTATATTAGCAAATGCAATTTCCAAATCAACTGGAAAACGTTCAAATAATGAAAACAATAATCAAAAGAAAAAAACACGCAAGTTGCAAAACAAAAATAATCAAGAAACACAAGCAAACAAGAAAATATTCAATTTGATTTTGATACAGAAGAACGTGTACTGGCTCTTGAAGAGCGTAAGCTTGCTCTTCAAGCAAAAAGTCAAAGAAATTGAGTTATCCAATTTGGTCAAAGCACTTGAATATGGTGTTGATATCTAGGAAATAATATAGTCATTACTTGTTATAGTTACTATTTTATTATTAAATGTTAATATATTTTGACGTGTATATGCATATACATGTATAATTTGTTGCGTTATTCTAACTTGTTACGTATAGTTATTATTTTATTATCGTAATTAAATATTTTAATGCGTATATGCGTATAATTCGTTACATGCGTATGTTGTACGCATTGATTTTTCACCATAAGTTACTTCTTTAAGAACTTGTACCGTACGTTTTATAACACCGTACATGTGGGTGTGACTGTACGTAATTTCAAAATTACACGTACAATATCCCACCCCCCGGATTTACGCGTGTAACCATTTTTCAAAAATCGATTTATCCTTTTTTTGATAATAAACATCACTTTGTTTACCTGTTACCGATACGTTAATTTCGTTAGGTTAAAAAATGACGTCCACCTATGCGCAGCTTAAAGAAATTGAAAAAGGGAAGATTCTGGCATACATGGAAACCACAAATACCCTCTCAAATCGCAAAAATGCTTGGACGCGATCCCATAACGATACGTCGCTTATTAACAAATATAAACGAACAGGAAAAAGTGAAAACTTACCAGTTCAGGAAAACCACCAGTCCTTAACAACAAAGAAAAGGATTACTTATACGTGAAGCCAACGAAAAAAGACGTGCACCACTAAGCGAAATAATCAACAATTTATGCCTCACTTGTAGTTTACCAACCGCTACAAATGTATTACACAATTCCGAACTTAACTCATGTATCGCAGCAAAGAAACCCTATATCTCGGAAACACGTTAAATGGTGAGAAGAAAATAAAAATAAACCAACTTATGATTGATTAAACCAGTGTTGAAGTCGGAAAACAGTCACGGCAGCCAAGAGTTTGGTGGCATCCTGGAGAAAAGTTTAATGTTAATTGCTTGGCTCCTAACATTAAAAGTGGACGAAAATCTGTAATGGTTTGGGGGTGTTTCACGGGAAAATTGAAAGGACCATTAGTTTTTCGTTCTAAATATAAAAAAAATAGTGAACAACTGCAAATATTGAAAGCTTAAAAACTCATTTATTACCGTTCCAGAACGCAATTAAGGAGTTAACTGGAAATTACGCAATTTTCAACAAGACAATGCGCTGATTCATACTGCAGGAAAAATTAAGAAATGGCTAACGGAAAATAAAATTGTGATTATTAACTGGCTGACTAATTCTCCAGACCTGAACCCATTAGAGAACATTTGAAAAATACTAAAGGACAATATTCAAAAAAATGAGATCTGTGGATGAACTTAAGGTCGAAATAATGTGAGGTTACTGCATCAATGCCACAAAGAATTAATGCATATTGGAGAGCTGATTAAATATTAAATAGATTTTATTTTATTTGATGTATAAATTGACAAAAATCAAATAAATTGAATAATGATCACAATTCTATTTTTAATCTTGCATCAAGCGATACTTTTTGGGTACTGGTCAAGTGAAACGTCTAATGTTCTTACCGTTACCGTATTACACTTAAAAGTTGCATTACTGAAATTTCTAAATTGAAACTTTGAATCTGCTTTTGTTTTAAATAATGGATTATTCACATACAAATTTTTGATTTTATTATATAAATTATTTAATATAACTCACTTAAAACTCATTTCAATAACAAGTTTCTTTATATTAAAAAAAATTTTTTGTAATTTTTAATTATAATAAGATACCAATATATACATTACCATTACAATAGAAGTATTACAAGAGTAACATATAGTACGTAATTATCAGAGAAAGAGGGATCTCAATAATAATTAGTTAATTAAATATAATAAAAATCTCACTGGGGGGGGGGGAAAGAGAAGGAGGGGGTTATCTCTATATTAACTCGATACATGTAGTATGTTAATATATGTTGTGCCCCAAATCACAATCTGCTCCAATTGACAATTGGGATATATCCCAAATTAAAATCTAAACCAAATATAGCCTATCCCTCAGCACTAACCCTAACCCTTACCCTAACTCTGGTCATATTCCTATTATAATTTGGGCTAATTGTGATTTGGGACAATTTTGATTTGGGGCACAACATATATATTATTTTTTGTATTGTATTTATCATTTGTGCATAATATATAAGAAATTAATATAAATCTATATTAATATCTTACAAAATAAATTAGATGTAAAATATAGATCATATTATTAATTTAGATACACATTGTTTTTAATTCCTTTTATTTTTATTTGTTCTTTTATTATTTTTAAATTCATGTTAATTACTTTATTAATATTTATATTATTATTTATATTTTATATATATCTAATTAAGTATAGCATAACTTGGAGATGTATCATCTTTAAAATTAATAATTTAAAATTAATTACTCTTTATTTATTATTGATTTATTTGTAATTTGTAAACTGTCAATTATATATTTAAATATCTTTATTCTATACTATAACTCTTTAGATCTTTCATTATTTAATAAATAAAAAATAAGTTTTATTAAAGTTAAACTAAGAATTATATAATTTATTTATAATAATTAATAAATTTATTTTAATATTATTCACATAAGAAAGTATTTTACATTAATTATTGTTATAAGTGAGTTTTTATGAAATTTAATATTAAGATAGCTAAACTTAGTTATAGTATAGATTTAATATAATTATATAATAATAAAATTATAATAAATTCTGTTTTAAGTAATAAAAATACTTTATTTTAAATATTATAAATTAAAATAATAATAATTTGTTCTAAAAATTAATAAATATTAATATTATTTCATTTTAAATAGAAAATCTTATAAATTTTGAATTTGAAAAAGTTATAAAAAAATTAATTTTTTGCTAGGACTCAGACTTCTTCAAGAAAAAAATTTTAATATTAATTTTATAATTTTATAATTTTAATTATATTATATTATAATTTAAATTAATAATAATCATATTAATTTTTTCTTTTGTTTTTTTAATTGATATATTATTATATAATAATATTTTCTTTTGATTAAAAATTAAAATAATTATTAATGAATAATATTTTTGTTTATTTTTCACTTTATATATATTTTTTGTACTTTTTATTCAAAAAATTAATATTTTTATTATTTGTACATTTTATTAGTATTTCTATAAACTGAACTAAATCAAACTTTTATTCATATTCGAGTTTGATTCAAAGTTTAAACTGAACTCAAATCAAACTTTGGCTTGAGTTCAAAAAAGATTCAAAGTTCAAACTGGACTCAAACTGAATTGTTATATGAGTTCAAGTTTGATTCAAGATTAATAATATTATTATATACTGCTTTATAGTTCTAAATATAAGCTATAATTTTACTTATTAGTATAATTTATGATATTTAGTAAGATAAAAAGTTTATATAGTAATAACTAAATATTTTATTTTTATATTTATTAAATTTGATTATAAATACTATGTAACTCTCAAATTAATTATTATTAATAATAACTATTTTATATCAATTTTTAATTCTTATTTCTGATTGTAACTTTACTTATAATTATAATTTATAATTATTATAGCAAAATAAATATTTATTATACTAAAACTAAGTCAGATTAAAATTATAATTATTTTTTAAATTTATATAACTTCTTAAATATTTATCCTAAATAATTATTTTATATTAATTTGTAATTTATATTAAGATTTATAATTTTACTTAGAATATTAACAAATATTTACTTAAACTTGAACTGAACTTTTGATCAGGTTTAAGTCAAGTTGAAGTTCAAACTGAATTTGAACTAGACTTTTAATTAGATTCAAATTTTTAAACTGGACTTTTGGTCAAATTCAAGTTAGATTCAAATTCAAACTGAACCAAACTCAAATTAAATTAGACTTTTTTTTGAAACTCTATATTTTATATTCTATTTCTTATAAAAATATTCTTAATTTTTATTTTATTATATTTATTCAATCATATTTATATTTATTTTATTACTCATTTCACTTTTATTTTTATTTCATTATTATTTTTATTTTTATTATTAAATTTTCTCATGATTAATTTTGTATTATTATTTTTCTTTTTTTAGATCTTTTCTTTTTAGTATAATATTGATTTTTTATTTCTAATTACTAATTTTCTTGTGAATTTCTCTTGTATTTTCTTTTCTATTATCATTAATATTTCATTTATTTTTTGATCTTTAAAATTATTTAGTATTATTTGTAAATAGTGGTATGATTCAGAATAATTATTAATTATGTAAATTGCAGGAATTGTTAAAAATGTATAAAAGAAGAGTCTCTCTTTGTTATAAACTCTCATGTTTTGATCTAATAAAATAACAAAGTTTTTGTAATATTATACTTATGAATACACTATTGTTTTTATGATCATCTTCAAAGCTTGACTCCAAGTAATGAATGCTCCTCCACTTTAAATAAGCCATTGATTTTATTATTCTTAGGTCATGATCATTAGTTCTTTTTATTTTATTTAATATAGTAATCTAATTATTTGTTTTATTTTCTTTATTGGCAGTCTCAATAAGTCAAATTAATCTTTTTTATTTCATTAGCAGTCTCAATAAGTCCTGTTATTTCTTTAGTAGTTATTCTATTTTTATTTTCATTTATCTTATTCATTTATTTAATTCCCCTCTTTATCTTTAGTTTCTTCTTTAATAATAAATTAGTTTGCATACAAGCTACCACAGGAGACTTTTAGAACATTAGTGAACCCTATTAATCGTAAATCATTCAGCCTTTGTTCTTTTACTGATTGTTCCTTTGTTAATTCATTAGTTTCAACAACTCTTGAATTGACGAGAACATTATTCTTTAAAAGATATGGCGAAATGTCTTAAAATCTTATATTTTAAAATATTTTTTGTTGTGCAAAAGCATTTCCATTATAACTTTACTTGAAAGTTTAGTATAACATACTTCAGAACATGCGGGATTATTGCATTACAACAGCACAAAATCAACGGTGAAGGAACTAATGAAAAAAAACATGCTTTGAACTATGTATTCTATCATTAAAAGAACTAGTTTTTTATATATACATGTACCTGGAAATCTTTTGCTGCAAAATTTGTGAATCAAAATAGTTTAATATCAAACGACTTATTAATTATTTGATAATTGGATAAAGTGATAATTATAAAAAAGTTTACTAATAGCTATTGTTGATATTGAAATTATTTCTTACAACTTATACGCTTACGCGATGTGTCAAATCTTGCCCTGTCAAGCCGTCAATCCCAATCAATTCTACCGAACTAGGTCAAAGCTTGTCAACCCATCATCCTCGTCAAACCACGTCAAATTAGATTTGGCAGTTGCTAAATTCAATAAAGTTTTCCAGGCTACAAAATTTCGCCTAGCTCGCCTAGCTCTGCCCACATACGTTCTTGAGGATTATCAATTTTCAAAACACACCAGCGAATTTTAATGGTGTAGTCATCATCCATATGTTTATTCTTTTCTTCTTGTATTTGTATTGCGAACGATCCATCTTCTTGCCATTCTCCAAATGCTGTTTTGAAAAACAGGTATGTTGGTAATGGCGTATATTCAACATCAAGTATAACAATATTTTTGTTAAATAGTGAGTTTCCGACCTCAATCTGTGTCGATTGAATTGTCGTATCATGCTTGAGTTTTGACTCTTTAACACCAGATTTGACCAATATATTACGAGTTGTTAGGTCGAAATATCCGATTTCACTTGGACAACCAATTAAAATCCACTGAAATATATATTGTGGTTGTGAACTAATTGCAAAAAAAAGAATTAATTAATTATTTTAGAAATATAAAATAAATTTTATAAATAACTATATTCTACCTGTCAAAAGTTGTCTCATCATTCGCTTGAATATAGTCTTGTCGAAAATCATGCCAACTCACTGAAAATCCACAAACTGTTTTCAAACTAAATCTCACATAGACATTTTCCAATTTTTCATCATTGCAAGTTACAATAATCCCAAACAATTGATAATTATTACTCTTCAATCGACCGCCGAACTTAATTCGTTGGTATCCAGTGCTATAGTCCAAAAGCGGTGTTTTGTTGTTCATTAACACATAATCTTCTTTTATAAAAAGATTTTCAATATCTCGTTGTTGATTCTCATCAAGAATTTTGTATAATGGTACGACAACGCGCTTTATAATATGCCATTCGGAGTATTGATTTGAAACATTTTCAAGCCATTCAGGAATTCGACTAGTATGAAATAATTACATGGTAAGTAGTGCTTTAGCAAATATTTCACAATTTATCGCTATCGTTATCAAATACAGTACCTTAAACTGATTGGATCACCACCCATTTCAATCATATACGAGGGATCGAATTGTCGAATATTTTCTTTCCAATTTACAAGTAGGTTTTCTGAAAAAAATTCATTAATTTTTTTACAGAATAAATCACTTGAAATTAATAAAAAATGTGAATCACCTATTTCTGAGAATTCATCAAATACATGTATTATCTAAGTGTTTGTTATTTTTGTCTTCCAAACGAACTATTCTTTCTAACTTATTACCAAGTATTATTTTTGTGGGAAAAAAATGCCCAAAATTCTGAAACACATGTTTTAAATTTTCAATCGGTGTATTTGATTCTAGTGCTGCTTGAATTTCTAACCTTAATTTTCTAGTTGGCTTTAGCGTCTGAATATTGATTTCGATTGACAATTGTTCACTAATGATTTCACAATAGATATTATTTGTTTTTAACTCGTCAAAAATTTCATTGTCGATAAGTAATTTGTGATCAAAGTTCGAATTCGAGTCTATTATTAATCCCTGTGTTAGAAAAAATACTTCCGAGCCTGTTATTTTTCTAAGCATCAAGCTTTTGCTGATGTTGTTTGTAAACAATGGCGTAAATTCAAATTTTATTGCAGGTTGAGTAGTTTGCTCAATTTGATACTCTCGAATATTTAGTCCATGTGATAGGTTAATTTTTTCATGTTGAATACTTATTTCTTTCAAAACAATGAAAGATGTATCATAACATTTACTTAGAATAAATTGTGCTCGAACGTTCTCATTTGTTGCAGATTTTTGAAGCCAATTTGAAGCCTCATTATCATTCTTAACAACACCATTTCCATTAAAATAACATAATGATTTAAATTGTGCATGAGTATCTCCATTCTCTGCAAGTTCTAAATACAACTTAAACAATCCCATTGTCTTCATATCATTTTTAACTATCTCTGTCGCTAAACTATTTTCATCATTGCAAATTTCTAGATTATTTTCATTTATGTTCTTTGCCAACTCGAGCCATTTTAATTCTTCATTCAAGTACTTCAATCCTATTCCATATTGGTGGTGGCAATTATCTTGAGCATAACGATAAGCATCTCCACTTTCTGCTGATCTTGAATACCACTCGAGCGCTTTTTTCTCATCTTTTTCAGTTCCTATACCATTTCGATAGCAATAACCGAGATTACATTGGCTTCCAGTATATCCATTCTCTGCTGATTTCAAATACCACTCAAATGCTTTTTTGTCATCTCTTTGAGTTCCAATACCGTTTCTATAACAAATACCAAGATTGCATTGTCCCTCTACGTCTCCACCCTCTGCTGATTTCAAATAATATTCGAATGCTTTTTTCTCATCTTTTTCAGTTCCTATACCATTTCGATAACAATAACCGAGATTACATTGGCCTCCAGCATATCCATTCTCTGCTGATTTTAAATACCACTCAAACGCTTTTTTGTCATTCTTTTGTGTTCCGATTCCATTTCGATAATAATTACCGAGATTACATTGGCCTTCAGCATATCCGTTCTCTGCTGATTTTAAATACCACTTAAATGCTTTTTTCTCATCACTTTGAGTTCCTATACCATTCTTATAGCAAATACCAAGATTGTATTGTCCCTCTGCGTTTCCACCCTCGGCTGATCTCAAATACCACTCAAATGCTTTGTTCTCATCTTTTTCAGTTCCTATACCATTTCGATAGCAATAACCGAGATTACATTGGCCTTCAGCATATCCATTCTCTGCTGATTTTAAATACCACTTAAATGCTTTTTTCTCATCACTTTGAGTTCCTATACCATTCTTATAGCAAAT